TATAGTTTTACCTTTTTCCAAATTTTGCAGATTTTTTAATAAGGTTTTAATATAATTTAATCAAGTTTTACTTTTACCATTTAGACGTCTATCTAAACTCTTGATTTCGTCTAGCAACCTTAAGCGTAGTAATTTAGAACTTAATCCTACACATTTTAAACAAATGATTGAAGTAGCAGATCCGCGTTTACAAGGCCTTTTTGATAAATTAGTAAAGGCATTAGTTCCTGATAACAGATCTGCATATAATAAAGTTGAAGCAAGAAAAACAATTGTGAGCTTATGTTATATTATGGCTGGAATGCGTAATAAGTTTATTAATGATTTTAAATTAGAAGTTGGATTATTTTTATCAGCATCAGGATCAACACGTAATGCAATCGATACAATAAATAGTATTGGATTTTCTGCTTGTTATACAACAGTTAATAATTTTAAACAAAAACTTGTAAATGAACACCCATTAAACATTAGAAAATTTCTTTCGGAAAATGTAAATAAAATTAAAAAAAAAAATTTTAAATCAGATAACCAAATTTACATCTATTTTACTTAAAAACTTTTTTTTAAAAAAAAATCAATTTGGTCTATTTTTCTAGCACTCATCCCAAATGCCTGAACCAAAGACCCAAAATAGATTTTGTTTATAAAAAGTTTAATGTAATAGAAAAGGATAGCTTTACTAAATTTGTTGAATTAAATGTTTTTTGAAATATTGAAGCAGATTTTGATGAAGATTTTTATTATTGTTTATGTGATCGTTATTATCAAGTTGCAATTGGTAAAAACAAAAAATATTTAAATTTTTGATTCTTTATATCTTTTCTAAAAACTTATAGATTTATAAATTATGATAAAGAAGCTATTAAAGAAACTTTAATTGAAGAAATTAGCAGTGATGAATCAGAAAAATTAGATAGTTAGTTTATTAATATGATAAAACTTTAAATATAGCATGTGATTATTATATTTATCTTAATTAATATAGATTTTATTGAAATTCTTTTACTTAAATTTAATGAAGAAGAATTTCACAGTGCTATTAGAATTTCTATTAAATTACATCTAGAACACAATACTTTATCTAATATATTAAATATGATTAAAAATAAAGTATATGGAATATGAAAGAATGTTAATTTTGATTTTCTTTTTTATTTAGAAAAAAAGCTAAAAAGGCTTCACAATATGCTATTCTTGATGATCAAGGAATTCAAGAGATTATTTTAAATTTGCTTAGAAACAAGAAAGTACAATTATCTGTTGGGTTAGAAATTCTTAAAGGTAACTGTTTATTAAGTTAAAATTTTGTTTATTGATAACTATATATTTATTGATTTATAGAATCTGCCACTAAAACAAATACATTAAAAAGATCTTTAACACAAGATTTAAATGTAATAGCTGTAATTAAAGAAACTAGTAAAGTAAATATTCTTGAACTAAAATTTTTAATAATTCCAAATATATAATAACGCAAATTTATATTTATTTTATAGCAATTAAAAAGGACTGAACAAATAAATGAGATTTTTGATAAAAAAAAAATCTGAAATATTAAGTCATTTGCGAAATACATATTGCATAGGCTTATTTTGTCAGTTTCATAAAAATGAATACTGTTTAACTTATCATAGAGAGAATCCTGAGCAGCATATTCAATTAAATAATTCTAAGCTATTAATATAGGCTAGTTATATAGTAAATAATTATTTATTATTATTTTATTTTAAATACAAAAAATTAAATATTAAATTTATTTTATAGGTAGATAATTCAAAACCAAAAAGAAAAATAACAGAATCTAAGAGAACTTCTTTATCAAAGTCACCATCTTTAACATTATTTTTGCCGTTAGTAATTCATCAAAAAAATAAAGAACTATTGCTCCATTAAAAACATCAACTGAAATAACTCTAGATCACAACTTACAATAATTTATCAAATGTTACCACTAGTATCACCACTAATATATAATCCTTATCAGCATGATTATTATTCAAATAATTATTATAAACAAATACCATTACAATTTAATCATCAAGATACTATATAATTTAATAACATTAAAGAATTTCTTGTGAAACTTAGTGAATCTTTTTTAGTATATGAAAGTTATTTTATTGATAATAGATATACTGTTAATTTATTACCACATTTGACATTAGGCCAATTAAAAAATATTGGAATAAATTTGGCTGAGCATCACGTTAAAATTTTGGTAAAATTAGGAATTAAAATTTTAGATTAATTTTTTTTTACTATAATTCACTTATAAAAATAAATAATATATAAACATTTAATATTATAAAAATTTAAATTATTTGTTAATTGATTTCAGTTTATTAATAAATAATTTTATATATAACCGATATAAGTAAAACTATGCTTTAGTTTTATCTGATTCTATTATACTAAATACTGTATTTAATACATAATAAGCATCATTTTCTCTTATTACCTATTCATAATATCTACAAAGAAAACCCTTTATATATGAAAACATTATTCAATTTATTAAATATAGTAAGTAATAATTATAATTAAAATTAAATAAATAAACTTAAAAAAAATAAGTATGTAAAATATTAATAAGTTAAAATCAGAAGAATAAGCAAGTAAAATATTAATTTTATTCTGTAAGCTATAAGAATTTCATATATGCAAAAAGATTTATATATTAAATAATTATTTATTACTAAAACATTATTTGAATTTGAAAATAGATTTATAACAGGTAACTATGTAATAAAGATTTAAAGATTTACTATTTAGATTAAATGTTAATAGTAAAATTTTAAATAAAAAATATACTTACTAAATCATATAGTAAAAAATTATAGAAATTGTTTCCATTCATAGGTCTTTCTTGTATATAATAAGCAATAATACTATTTATTCCTAAAGCTCCCTCAATTGTATATCTTTTACCTCTTATAAATGCATATTTAATTTCTGCATGTCTATTTAAAGATGAATATCTGTATGATCTAGAAGCTATCCTTTCATCTTTTGCAGTTTCGTCTACAAAAATTAGCTATTCACATGAAATTTTTTTTATTTTTATAACAAAAAAAATCTCTCTCTATCTTATTTCTTTCTATTGCTCTTTTAGAAAACTATAAATGTAAAAAAAAGATATAAATAAAACTACCAATACCTAAAGAATTAATATTATTACTATATAATACTTTAACCTTTTTTTTTTTAGAAAATCTAATAGGTTTTAAAGCATGACAGATAGTTGAAATACTAATTGAAAGATTGCAAAATTCGCCATATAAATATTTCTGCTGATATTTGATTATTTAGCCGCTAATTATCCAAATACCAATCAGGTCATTTGAGTAAAAGTCTGTATAGCTTCTGAATTAAGTAGAGTTGTATTATTTAATATTTTAATTTAATAATAATATAATAAACTTTCACTATGATTCCTTCCTTTTACAACTTTGCTTTTCTTTCTGCTTTCTTCTTATTAGGATTTTCTAATATACCATACACTAGTCGAAATAATTTTTTTTTTTTAAAGATACTGTCAGTACTTTATTAATAAATTGTATGATAATAACTAGTTTAAAAATAAAAAAGTAAATACAAAAAATAAAGACTAACTATCCTTCGTAGTTCTATTTCAAATCCGTTTGGATCAACCAATCACCAAAATTCTCCCTCAGTATCCTCCTAAAGAAAATTCTCAAGAAGAATACACATAATGAAAAATCTAAATGAATATGTCAACACCATCCCAAGAAGTCCCACCAGGAATAACCAAAATTGAGAGCTGAATATAACCAAGTTTTCCAATAATCAACCGA